GATAAACAAATAGCCAAAGGAAAAGATGCTCCACATCATCAGGAAATTAACATCATCAGGGAAATGTAAATCAAAGCCACAATGAAACAGCACTTCACACCCACTGAGATGGCTATAATCAAAAAGACTAATCATATAACAGCCGTTAGTGAGGATATGGAAAAATGAGAACCCTCACACATGGCTGGTAAGGATGTAGAATGGTGCAACCACTTTGGAAAACAGTCTGGAATTCCACATAAATTTTACAACAGGACCCAGTAATTTCATTCCTAGGCATGCCCAAGAGAAATGAAAACATATGTCCACACAAAAACTTATACACCAATGTTTTTAGCAGCATTATTCATAACAATCAAAAAATGGAAACAACTCAAATGTCCATCAACTGATGGATAAATAAAATGTTTTATATATCTACAATGGAATGTTATTCAGCAATAAAAAAATTAAATACTGATACATGCTACAATGTAAATGAATCTTGAAAACATTACGCAAAGTGAAAGAAGCCATTCACAAGGAACTGCATATTGTATGATTCCATTTACGTGAGATGTCCAGAACAGGCAAATCTATAGACAGAAAGTAAATTAGTGATTGCCTATGACTTTGGAGCAAAGGGGTAGAGGGAAAATGTGGGGTGACTTAATGGGCATGGAATTTTTTGCAAAGTAATTAAATATTTTAGAATTGATTATGGTAGTGGTTGTACAACTTTGAATATACTAAAAACCATTGAGCTATTCACTACTTAATAGGTGAATTATATGGTTTGTGAACTATATATCAATAAAGCTGTTATTCAGAAAAATGTCTTGACCTTATTATTAAGTTATCCTATTGACTTGATTAATAGAATTTAAAACATGGACATAGGATGTGTATGTTGATTCAGCTTTGTATGAACTCAATAAATTGCATAATAAGCAACTGCTTCATATTATTGCAATCTAAGTCTCACCACAAATAAAACCCTTCAAAATGACAAATTCAAGTGTTTTCTTGGTGAGGATTTAAATGTAATTTGAATGGACTTGGAATAATCTCTAGATAATTTATCAGATGCCATACTTATTCCAAAGTAAAATAATTTTATGCCATGCAATTTAGAGCATCATGAAAAGGAAATTTTATTAACATTTTTTTCATTATAAAGTAGCAAATACATTATTCAGTTCAGTTTCCTATAAATACTAAAATACTAAAGTATGTCCTACATATTATAACTAAACAAAGCACAGTTCCATTTAAAAGATAAATTCTAAGTAGTCCAATAAATTTAAAATAATATTGGTGGTGTTATATTTTTGTCAAGATACATATATATTTTCCAAAAGATATATTTTTATAAAACTATTTCCTACTCTTAAACTGAATATTATTTTTACATTAGGTCATGTGAATTTGAAATTGAAAGGAATAGTAGATTCTCATCCCAGCTACTCCTTTCAGGCATTAAAAAAAAAAAAAAAATCCTGAGATCTAAAGTGGCTAAGTTTTGGTCCAAAATCATGATTGGGAAATCTATAGATTGAAATCAATTTCCTTAATTCCCAAGGAAATGATGTTCTCACCATACAATTCTCCCTAAAAAAGAAATTTTATTATTTGAAAAACTAACAGCATGTAGAATATTAAGTTTATATGTCTTTTGGATGTTTGCATACTTGAATATATACTATTCATTTCCACCACTGATAATGTTTTCAAGCTTTGATCTCCTAGAAGGCTACAACCATGTATGTCTATTTAACTGTTCACATATTCAACCTCAGTCTCAACTTATCAGAGAACCTCTTATAAATTATGATCAATGAGATTAAAACACAACGTGGTAATAATTTAATACAATTATTTAATTTCCAATGGAAGGCTTAAGAAAACCTCCAATATATTCCCCATGAATGCAGCATGGTTACACTAAGAAATAAGGGATTCTTTACAAACTTGTCTAATTAGAGAGAGCATTGGCGAAGAATTGACCAACTCTACCATGATTCCTGAAAGCTCATGAAATGGTTATTTTTAATAGCTTTACACCAGGTTTGGTTAGAGATTCCTCTTCTTGCACCTTCTTCTCCAACCCCATCCAAATCTTCCCAGAATTGCTCTATTCCAAAAATCACTCTCTTCTCCTAATAAGAACTTCAGCTATTTCCAAAGCTTCTCCTTATCTAATTCATACTAAGGTGTGAGTTGCTGAAAGGTTTCAATCTGACAGTGACGTCTTAAGAGGAATTCATATTTTACACTCAAAATTTCACTAATTAATGTAAAGAGTGAGTGTGATCCTTCACTATATCAGCAATGCTGGGAGCCACCGAAGTCTCCTGACCCCCTACATTCCAGAAATAGGAGTCAACAACTGGGTGCCCTGCTTGTGAAGAGCTGCTGACCTCTGGGAGGGAGCTTGTATGGAAGCAAGTGTTAATTTTCAAAATGTGACTGGTTGTGATAGCAGCAGCCTCACCTCATCACAATGTCCCTTGGAATGTTTTCTCGTCAAGGGGTCTAGAAGTGATCTGTCATCACTGGTCAGTGGTACAAGCAGCTCATTCTTGTATCCTTGCCCTTCTCCCCTGGACCTGAAACAAAACATACCATTCTGCCCTCCCCTTCTCACAGCTGAATTTTCATGTGTTGAACATTTGTCAGGGCTTCACCTTCAATGACATGGTCAAGGCACCAAGAAATTATACTTAATACATGAAAAATGAATACCAGGCCCATTTCTCCATGCTTTGTAATCAAAAGCTATAAAATTTATGTTTGGGGTATTCATCTGTGTACTTATTCTTGGAACAACATTTATAGACACTTTAAATAATTACCCTCCAAAGTCATAAAAGGGTTTAGTAACACACTTTAATATATAATTTCTTAAGCACTTTTTTAATAAAATACAGATATATAATTATAATTATCAATACATGTATGTCATTTAATATAATGATAAAAGCCTAGTCTTTGAAGTGACATGGTGATTAATATTTACAGTATAACCTAAAGGAAACAGCATTTGTACAATATTGCTAAATTTAAAAAAAAGGTTAATAAAAAATTCTACTCTTATTGTAGTGTCATCTCAAAGCACCAATAGCAAAAAGGAAAATGCTCTCCTTCTTAATACGTACAGGTATAGATCTTTACTTCCATGTTTCCTGAAGACTGAAAACTCCCTTATTGCCCTTGAATTATACCAAGCAATAAGGCTGGAATGTACTCATGAGGACTTTCCCCAGATCTTTGTCCAGCTATTAATACCATATGCAAATACCTTATATAGATCTACCTATTGGAAATATTTCATGTCCCTTCATAGTAATCTTAAATTTAAAAATCAAAGCAAATTTGATCAACTGTGAGAATGCATGAGGAAACTTACCAATATCTATAAACGGAATCACCTTCTGTGCAAATATTGATCAAATAGTAAACCCCCAAATAGCCTAAGAGCCTACTGTTCTAAAGTAAAGAAGCAAATCGGGAACCACACTCTCTCCCCACCTAAAGTATTATGAGTTAAAGCAAGTCCGTTTAGCACTGAAAGGCAACCATGCTGCGTTAGCTAGGCAAATACATAATGTAATGAGTCAATGGACAAACACATTGTTTTAGTTTTTCAACAAACATATGGTAATGTTCCTCATCATGCATTCTTAGTCTTTCTTATTGATCTCATAATGTGTTTTTAAATCTTAAACCATATATTCATTATTTTAGGGATTTTTTTTAAACTTAATGCTGTTTTCATTTTTCTAGTTTCGAGGTCGAAAATGCTGTTGAGGTTAAAAGTTTTATAGCTCCTTTATCATAATTAGTATCTTCCTCCTTAGTCCTCGAGAGGGCCTTTATAGTAACAGGCTTTGGCCTTTGCACTACAACCCCCGAAAGACAGATTGCTGGAGATAACCCCCTGAAATTCCTTACAGTGTTATTTAACACCTAAAGGCCTAGACTCTTATCTGTTTTGGGAAAGACTCAGACAGAGGGACAAGGTTAAGGAGAGGAGAGGTTTCAATTTGTAGGAGTTAGGAGACATAAATAAGTAGCATAAATACCTTCTTCTTTACTTATAAACCATGAGTCAGGAATCTCAAAGCAAGATGGAAAAAATATCCTGAATGAAAAATCACACTATAAAAACCTAAGGGATATCCTAAGGAACAATATTATTCCTCTTGATTTAGAAAGAGATATTTCTCTTGGAATCAAAGAATTTGAGGTGGATTTATTTTCTTTTTGCCATTCCACTCATATCATGTTTTCCTTCCCTAGTGAAAATTAGAATTTAAAAATGTTTATAGAACATTCCTTAACGGTCTATGTAATGAACTAAATAAAATGAGCAAAAAATCCAAAATACTAGAAATTTATTCTCTGCAGATGAATAAATACTTCTTATATGCCCAATGAAAAGTAAAAAAAAAAAAAAAATCACAAGCCTCTCCTCCATTTTCTTTAAGAAAATAATTATTATGGGTTATTGGTTTTTGCAAAACCAAGGTCATCTAATATCTGTGATAAGGAAAAGCAAGGAGGAACACAAAAGTTAATCCTTCATGATTATAAATACCTCAAAACTAATACTAAGACTTCAACTGGCTTTTGCATTTTAGGTTCTCACACTGTGCTCAAGAATAACAGAAATCACAAGACTTTGTGCTGGTTACTGCTGGTTATCAACACTCAAGTATGAAACTGCATAGAGCATTTTTCTGATAAACCGTTATAAGTCTTAGTCTGCTTGGTATCATTGCCAAGTTTGCTGTTTGGTTTTTAAAAGAGTCTGAGAACTTTGGTTAAACACACTACATTTATGCCAATACTCTGTGCAACTGGATGAACAAGAGGAAAAAGCAGAGGGAGGATTTGGCTTTGTAGGCTTCAAAACTCCACATGCTATATACAGTATACATATATACAATCTCACCATGAGAAAGTCAAAAAAAACTCAATGAGCCTTCATTTTCTATTGTATGTACATTTTACAAGCTACTGATAGTTTCTTTTCATATCGCTTTCAAAAAAAGAAAAAGAAAAACAAAGAAAGAAAATACATTAGATCGATTCGAATGTAGTTTAACTTAAAGGCTTCATCAAACCATATGTGCAGACACTTGAGATGATGACAGAGTTAAGCTTCCTAGGGTCCTGGAGTCAAAGAAACTCTGCTGACCCCCACTGCTAAGCAGGTGCACTCCTTCCACAGGGGGCAACATCTGCCGATCGGTCATGGTCCCACTCGGTGAGGATCCCAAGAAACTTCCTTGGGAAGAAACAATTTTCTCAGGACTGGCAGCCAGTTTGGGGGATGTGGAGAAGTTATATCCATACAAGGCACAGGGGCTGTGTAACCTGAAAGTGTTATAGGAACCCTGATGGGTCTGGTTAGCAGCAAAGGCATTGCTGGAGGGTGAAGGCATGATGTACTGGAGCTGTGGGGACATCCCCGAAATCTGCATGGACAGGCTGGTCTGTGGGCAGCTGAAGGTGTCCCCATCAGCACCACCCATGGACATGTTCACGGAGGCAGTGCTACTCACTCCCACATAGGAGGGAGTCCTGGGCGGGGCGAAGGTCTCGCTGGTCTGGTTGGTGAGCCTGTTGTAGGTCTCCGCCAAGGACGTGCTGTATCGGTTGAGGGTGAGACCGGACCGGGTGCAGGCAGAGTAGTCAGCCGGGGCCAGACTACACAGCTGGCTGGTGTTGGGCCCCAGGTGAAAAGCAGGAGAGGAGCAAGGGGAGCCAGACAAAAGATGAGGGTGGGTGGCAGGAACGCCATTCCCAGAACCTTGGAGTAAGGTGGAGGAACTTGTATTTCCTACAAAAGAAGGTGAAATGTAAAGAGTAATGACTCCACAACCATCTTTTCCTTTCGGTTTTGTAAACAGGAGCAAGACACTCCTTGTTGTTACAAGGGGTGCTACAAAGATGAAAAGGAGATGGTTTCAGCTCTCAAAGAATTATTACTTAAATGACTTCAGATGGAATATTTGAAACACAGATCTCAATATTTTCAAAGCAAATTATCTCTCCCAGGGAATCGTGTATTTTTTAAATTGCAGATATATTAGGACATTAACCACACAGAATGTTCACATTTTCTTTCTCAATTAGCTTTTTCAAAGTTTTCTCATGTACTATAATAAATATAATAAATATTGACTTTCCCAGCAACTTTCTAAAATAAAAATTTCATCTTACTCTGTATTTAGTTTCAAAAGTATAACCATTGCCTATTTCCTTCCACCTTTTACCTTTTGTTTCAGCAGAGCTTGCTCTGGATCAATATATTTACTGGCAAGAAAAAAGAAGGAACTCCAAGGAAAGAGCTGAACTGGTCAAAGGCATATCCTATCTTCAACACGCCTGCAGCCGCCCACTGAAAGCTCTTGTATTTCAGTTGCTATACTACACAGGGCTTGGCTATTGCAATAGGCAATAGTCTAGAACTTCAGAAATTTAATTTCCAACCAGAAAACAGGTTGATGAAGCATATACTAACAGAAGAGCAGAGCTCCAGTAAACAATAGTCCTGTGAAACAGGGAAGATGGTTAACCCTGCATCCAGCCAATAACTGCGATGGTGGCTGACTCCCCTCTCTGGATTTGCTAGCAGATTGATGTTTGCAAACTTGACAGAACTTAGGGGAAGAGGAGAATTCCAATGGGCTGGATAGGTTGTAAAACCTTCATTGCTCTAGCGACAGTGTTTTATATAGCTTCCCAGAATAATCTAAAAGCCCAATCTCACCAATGATAATTATCTAAAACCCAGCACACTAAATTCTCACTGGGGAGCTGGTCAGAATCAGCTGTAAACAGTCTGAGTGCGGAAGTGGGCTGAGTCCTACCTACACCAAGCAGAGAAGGAAGCGTCATCCTTTTCCGTGCAGCTCCCTCTGACGAAACACCAGCCCTGGGCTTCGGGCAGATACTCAGAGGTGAGCCCGGGGAAGTCTGCTTAAGTGGGCCTGACCCTCTCATCATAAATCCAACAGGAGAATCCTGACTAGAGGCAAGTTTGCTGAAGGAAGAGAAGAAAGAAGCTGGCAAGAAAAGGTGAACTGGGACTAGCACTGGCAGTCTCTCTTAAGGTGCAGCTAGCACCAGAGCCCACTAGTCCACCTCTAATTTAATAAGAGATTTAAAGGTGAGGTAATGGCCATGAAATATATAAACAGCCTAAAACATCGAAGACTTAACCTAAGACCACAACGGCTATTTTTTCTGGCCCATCCCCATACCACATAGAAAAACGATGGCTCTTGTAATAAGAGGATGCTGGTGATGAGGTCGCCACTGTAGATGTAAATAATGACTTGCACACTTTTCAGTGCCTGAGCTTGTAGGCAGGAACTGGCTGTTTACATGACCTGGAGACTGTGATTTACCTTGTTTGGGAATTCCAGGAATATCTTCAAAGGTGAGAGTCCGTAGTGAAGGTCTCCAGAATGCATACGATTCCACAAGCGCTTCCAGACCCATTCTAAGGATCGGGATGAGGGGGTGGACAAAAGAAGCCTGGTTAGGAGCACTGGGGCTTTCCTCAGTAATAAGTGGCTCAGAAAAACATCTGTAATGTTGATAGTGTCCCCCCTGCCCCAACATTGGCAGGTTAGGAACTTGGCACTGGCAGAAAGAAATACTTCAGAGATGGGCTATCATTCTGTCACCAGGAGCACAAGAGGATGAAAAACACCCAAGAAGTCCTCTTAACATTCTCAGAAAATTAAGCCAATCTTGGAGGATAAAAAAGCTGCCCCTTCAGGCTAAGACACTTAGATGAAGAGCTAGCCATCATAGCTGATGTGAGTCCAAGGCTCTGCTGTGACCCGGGACCCACTCTCTCTCCCTGTTATGTTACTTCTCCCTCTGGTGAGGAAGCCTCTGTCACAAAAGCATGCCCTGTAAAGACAGCTCTTTTCTAAGAAGCATTTCTGTCCATCATTTGGTGCCTTGGCAGCCAGCTTAAAAGAGGACTCATCCAAAGAAAACTGATTTCTCTCTTGGGGGCACAATCTCCAGGGTGGCCAAGGTGGGCTCTCCCTCCAGCAACAGGGGATCTGAGGGGCGGCACTGGCCTTTCAGTCCAGTGTGCAGGAGGACCACAGAAAGGCAAACTCACCGGGTGGAAGGTGTATGGAGCTGGCATTACCATCAAAAATTATTTTCAAGTACCTAAATACACTTAATGGATGTATACTTAAAGAGACAAGATAAATTGGTTATGGACTATTTACATGAAATATGCATATTTTAAAACAAGGGCTACTATTCTAAATACATACATAAATATATGTATCTCCTACCATAAGTGATTCTGAGTTTTCCACTCCTTACATCAGATAACTAAGTTTTCTAGGTTCTGGAAATGAGGCCCGCCACTCAACTAGCCCATTCGTAAGATCTCACCACTCTTCCCTTCGACCACCTCAGCCCTAAACAATTTGTTAACCTAGATAACATTGTGTTTCTCATGAAACATATAGCTAGCTCCATTATAGGAAATGGCTGCTTCCTGAATGATAAACAATACTCTGACATCTCTTGTGATTGTTAGATATAGTTTTAATTAATACAGATAATCTGTATTTAATGCAGACATTAAAGATAGTTTACAGTCAACGTGCTACCTCTGGATTCCCTGCATCCCTAAGTCATGAACTATGAACTAAGACTGGAGGACATCCCCCCAACTGAGTCACACCACCTATACAACATGATGAAAGCTCTCTAGATACCAGTGGTAAGTGATGTGTGCATGAAACCATCTCACACCACCTGTCGTTCTGTTCTAAGGTTTTATACACTGAGTATCCTTCTTTAGTGTTCAGAATATAGACTCCGTTAATCCGTCGACTTCTGTCATGACTGCATAAGGAGCATGACAACCCTATCCTAGTGATAAGAGACAGCTGTGTGTGTGCAGATGGGTGGTGTGGCACATGCACAGGCTTGTATACATGAACCATCCTCATGGGTCCACACATGGACCTGGCTCATTTCTGAAGTCACAGGTTCAGAAAGGTGCTGCCCTGGGAGCATTTCAAAGAGCTGTCACCAGCCCCACACAGATGCTCCTGAGGCTGCCAAAGGGGAGAGCAGGGCACTAAGTGGACCTGTATGTGCCTTACTTGGGCTGCACTGAGAGTAAAGGGCAGAATCTGGCTTCAGGTGGAATTAGCGTGCCACAGAAGGAGGACTTTTTAGTGGTAAGGACACAGATTGAGGGTCAAGAGATCTGAATTGTGACCACAACTCACTAAAACCCACGATGTGACCTTAAGTAAATGCTTTAACCAACTTGGACTTCAGTTTCCCGCAAAGTGAGGATTAGAATACAAAAGCTCTGGATCCTCCCCTAGCTCTAAAGTTGTTCGCTGCTAAGTGATTTTTCCCAAACCAGACATCATATCTGTGGCTGACCACAAGCCAAATCCAAGATCACTCTACTCAGTAATATTTTATGTACATTAAAGTATTAATTGAGGGGGAGTCTGGCTGCCCAGTCAGTCCCCAAACCCCATGTAGCCTGCAGATTGCATTTAATATTCAAATAATGAGTGCTAGGTGCTATTTATCTGATTATTCTATATTTAGCTTATACTAATACTAAATTTGTATGACTTTCTAGAAACAAGCTTTTTTAAATGCTAAAGAATGTCAGGACACAATTTTATATAAAACTGCTTATTACCACACAGATAAGTTTTAGTAATCGTAGTTTTAAATATTAAAGATACCAAAGCGGTCAGGAGTAGTCTCAAGGGAAATTTACTGAGAGATAATTAATGAGCAGCCACTGTACTTAGAAATTTATTAACTATAGAGATGAGCATTATTTCATTACTTGCTTTAGCAGTGTAAACTTTATTATGCTTCAATTACAAATAAAGAGACTAAATTCTTGGGGAGAAGTTACTGATCATCCCAAACACAGAACATTAAGCTTTAAAGAGATGCTCTGAAAGTCACATAGCTACGAGTGATCTGATTTGGAGCTATTGATATTTTTCTTGAGGCTGCTGTTTCACACTGCAAGTTCCAGAAAGGGTTTTAGATATTTTGCAGGAAACAGTTATAAAATATTTATTAGCTGAATCTGGACTTTTTTTTTTAAAGCCTTCATTTTCTCCAGTAATGGAGACTTTTCCCGTCTAGTTAAAAAAAAAAAGATAAAAGGCACCTCCTGCAGGAGTGTAGCCAAGGCGATAATTTATACAAGATGCCTTTGAACAATTTCCACATTTTATCACCACCCTAATTTATGCTATCAAATGGCCAAGTTTATTTAGTAAAATGGTTATGTTTTTCCTGAAGTATTTAAAGAGAAGAAATTTTTGTACCTTCCTGAGTAAAAAATTTTATAGGGTCAAACCTAAGGCCTAACTGAAGAATGAAACTATTCTCAGCACATAAATTCTCTTTCACGTAGCAAATGTCTTGCAGGAGAGCTTTTAAGGGCTGAAGCTACTGATTTCTATAAAATAGGCTGTAGAACCATAAATAGCCAGGAAGGGATAATTTTTAATTAAAGCAAATTGTTTTATAAAGTTTAAAAAAATCACAAGTCCATGTTTATTTCTCGTCCTGCCTAATTTGTTTATTTCATGTGTGGGGAAAAATAAAAACAGAATTTGTATTAAAAAGCAATAACAACAGCACAACAGAACCAGAGGTACTAAAGAAATATATTAAACATTTTTCTCATGGACTTTTCTTCTCAACTAATATATCAAAAATATCACCTCTCCCCGCCAAGCTCTTAACACCAATGCAACATTCCAAGTCTTTCATGTGAGTTAGGCACCCTCTTTTTTAATGGAAAACAATACATAAATTAGAAATCTTTAAAGCTGACCAGTCTCTCTTCACCAGATAAGTGTCTTTTGCATTTATTAATGAAAAAATGTTAATATCAGATATTTTTAAGTGGGGATTATTAATTTACAGATATTTAGCATTCCAAAATGAGCACTGAAAAGCTTATGTATGAGAAGCAGAAGAAATAATTGCAATGAGAAGAAAAATAAAACTATTCATTTCACTAACAAGAAAGCTATGTATAGGCTCAACATGTTTTTCCTGTACACAGATATTTAAACATTTAGAGCAAAATAAAAATTTTAAGTTTTAGAAAAATTTTAAAAGTGTTAAAATATAATTCATTATTTTCTATATATCCATTAGAAATTCTAAAAGTTCTAGAGTCAGAAAAGAAATAGCAGTAAGTGCCATGGATGCCATGGCTATATACTTCTGAAACAGCCAAAAGGAAGGAAAACATTTATATCAAACCCAGCATTTTGACCTTATGATACTTCGTAGTTTACTTTCACCAAGGCTATTGATTTTTTTCACTAACCAAATTTAAAAAGACAAATGCCTTTTCATTGTGCTGACATATCTTGAATTCTCCCTGAAAACTTGTCATACGCATCTTATCACCTCACTTTTACTTGTAGGTTTATTTGCTATTATTATCTATCCAAAACATGCCTTTAAAATTATTTTTAAATTTATTGCTTCAAAAATGAATTGACAGTATACAAGCAGTATGATACCCCAGTGTCAATAGCAGTGATGTCTTTGCCAGAGCAATCCTAAGGGAGAGTTTGGACATAGTTCCTGGCTGTATACTCGCCAAGCCTCAAGTGCTGCCTTCCTGGAGTTTCAGCGAGTTTTAATAAATGTAGTCTCAGCTTATAAAAAAAAGGACAAATTGAAATTAATGCAAGACTCTTAAATGGATAAATACTATTCTGCTATAACCGAAACCACAAGAAGCTTCCAAGTATTTGTCCAGGTAGAAAAGGAGGAGTCCTCCCAGAGGCTCCCTTCTGTCCCCTCGCCAATGATCATCTCAGTTACTAAATTATTCGACTTTCTGAAACTCTTCTGAAAAGCAAAGTTAACCAGGAGCTAATGTAACATAACAAAAGCCAAGCAAAGTTTTTTCTCCACATTGAAACAGACATCTAAAAATACGGAGTAATTTCAATGCAACAGACAATGTAAAGTAGGAATGCATGCAAATCTTTCGACGGAGTGAAGAATTTCAGAGGGAAGTCCTGTTATTAGTAAGTCTTATCAACCTACCTACACCAAGTTAAAGGCTACTCTCAAAGTTTTTTAGTTGCATTTTAGCCCTCACATTGAATGGTGTTTAAACAACACTATTGCATATGAAAATGAAATCAAGTCTCTGCAAGCACTTGAGTATATTCTGAGGAAAAGTTTCCACCTACACCTACCTTGCCCAATTAATTACCTGAAAAAACTAAAAATCTGGACTACTACCTGATTGTTTTCTTTCTACAATTTTAAATGAAATTGTCCCTAAAATAAAATAATTGGAGATATTTACTTCATGTAGACACGGTCTATCAATACTAAGTTTTTAAGGAGTATTAAAATAATTTCTGGAGTAAAGTAATAAAAAATTCTCAAATACTTCTTTTTAAAAACAAATGCTTTCAAAAACATTTAAGTCAAAGCCTTACCCTGAAAAGGCATCTGGAGAACGTTAGTCTGTTATTACTCTCTACTACTATCAACAGTTATTTTAGAAAATGTTGCACCGAACTGTATTGGAATAGAATCATATCAATAAATTCAAAAACTCTTGGCACACAGACTAGGGTGATCTGCTTTTTGATAAAAGTAATAAAGTGGAATTCATTATTGTAGCTCTCCCACTTAGTACAAACACCATAAAACACGACACAGAAAAAATAAACAAGTGTGTGGCTGTCAGCAGAGCCAAGACAAATTTGGAAACTAAAGAACATCAGCTCTCTTGGCAATGGGGAGTAGTTTCATATTCTAGTTAGGAATCTGAGGGAACAAGAGACCCCGTCATATCCGAAGACAGAATCAATAGATAGTTGGACACACCAAATTCTAAATCCAGAGCAGATGCAGAGAGGATACTGGCGTAGGATAGTGAAACCCCTGCGCCTATAAAGGCAGGCTTCCTCAAGGTTCCTTCAGAGGTGGCATGCACTGTATACCCTAAGAACTTCCATTCACCCCAGCATCACTCATCAGAGTTCACCTTAAGAATAAGCAGACCACAAGGTTACATCCAAAAATAAGTTACAACCCAGGCTCGATATTATTAACAAATTTAAATCCTCCTCAGAGATTATTTCAAAAACATGTCAGGAAATTTAACTGTTTATTTTGTAATGAAAAACTCACAATAAAAAAATCAAATATGTTATCACAGCCAGGATGTTCTTCATTAAGACTGACTTACCTGTTACGCCCAGAGTCTCGGAAGCCTTTGGCAAATGGGTTCCTATCTATTTTCAGGCGAGTAATCTGCAGAGTAGAAAAAGAAATCACATCAAATCTTATTATAAATGCCAAGTAAGGTTATTGAAAACAGAAATGATGGAAAAACTACAAATAATTCCAAAATTAAGAGTCAGAGGATTCTATTGTGTTCCTCTCTCATTTCCCAGATTATTTTATTATTTTAGCAGCAAAGCTAGAAGAAAAATTCAAAAATCATCTAGGCATTCACCTGCTGTGAAAAAGATATTCCCCCCAGGGCTACTCAAGCTCTGTAAATAAATAAAGTGCCTTTTGCTTTTAATATCCCTAAAGAGATTCTGAATGGTCTGTTGATAACTTGCCCTTTGTTTGACAATCTCTCTGAACTCAGTATCTTCCCTTTAACTCAGTGACACTGTTTAATCCTGTTTCTCTTTCAATAGTTGTGATGGGAAATAGCTAATGTGTCATTTCTATTTAACAGCTATTTACATCCTTGAATGTTGTTAAGCTCCTACCTATCTTTTTCTTCTTCAGAATTAGGTAACATACACTCCTTTAAATTTTCTGCCTTTATATTTTTCTTTGTCTCTGAACTATCTTTATGGCTCTCATCTGAAAGATTTACTCTTTCTTCTTTTATCTGTGGCGTCTAACCAGAGGTAAATACTTCTTATTAGAAGCCTCTAATAAGATTAAATCTTATACATGTAGTAGAAATAAATAATGTTTTCATTTTCACCACAGTTCTAATTTGTTGACTTATAACCAGAGCTTTTTGCCCCCAAGGAACCCCAAGATTTGGAGAAAAATATTTTCCTTTTCTCTATTAAAAAGAATTTTTTTTTAGTTTTATCACTTTGAAATTAACATTAATAAACAATAATCCCATCTATTTCTTACCAGATCTCTACTTTTCCCTGAGGAATTTACAGTCTATTTTCTTTCTTTTCTTTTAATAAGTTTATTCGAGTGACATTAAGATTATAGAAGTTTTAAGTGTACAATTCTATAATACATCATCCGTAGACTGCGTTGTGTGCTCACCACTCAAAGCCAAGTCTCCTTCCATCACCATATATTTGACCCTCTTTACCCTTATCTACCTCCCCGCCTCTCCCCTTTCCCTCTGGCAACCACCATACTATTGTCTGTGTCTATGAGGTTTTTTTGTTTGTTCATTCATTTGTTGCTTTCTGTTTTATATCCCACATCTGAGTGAAATCATATGGACCTACAGCCTATTTTCTAAGAAGCACATCATGCTTTGTTTCCTACGTCCCTTGGTTTAGGGGAATCTACAAAGTAAATGAACATGCTTCTGATTGTACCATTTTGGCTGAGGACAAACACTGTTGGATAAGACTGAGGCAAAGAAAGGCATCTTTGCAAAGTCTCCTGCAATCCCACTATATTGTCCTGTGCGTGCTCTCAGCCATCCTCCAATTAGCCATTTAAAACCTGAAATACATGTGTTCCATACGATATGGTCTTAATATGTGGATAAAATTACATTATAAATGAAATAATGTCAGGGTCTGCTAATTGATTTACCACGTCTGTCACTCTTTCATTGAAGAAATTCTTTATAATTCATTATAGCTCAATTCTCTGTTCACTTAATCTTTAAATGAGGTTAAATAATTTAAATATTCATTTAAAATAGCATTTTAAAAAAGAGTACAGATTTATATAATAGTTATTTGCCTAAATAGAGATATGGCACAATTACTATTAACAATATTTTTATTGCTAACATCACATACATTGAGTATATACCATGTATGCTATACTGAGAGTTTTGTGCATATTATTGCATTTAATTCTCATAGCAACTTATACATAGTTATTATCCCAACTTTATGTTTTCTTTTAAACTGAGACTTAAGTTTCCTATGATCATAAAGTTACTTGGTGGTAGAACTGGCCTGGGACCCCATGCTGTTAACCACCAAGCTAGGCCGCTTACCAATTTTCCATAAGTTCTTCAAAATATTAGCTGGGAAGTTTAAAAATGAACATGATTGCATTTTATCATTACCAATTTCCCTTCTTCTAATTTTTCCACCCTCCTGATGGATTTATCAACATTTGTTAATTGGTATTAGTCACTAATGTGTACCAAAAACCTACTGCATCTCATTTATTATATATCACAGAGGCTGGGAGAAAATACATATTTACATAGCTCATTTTTGTGTGTTTTAGAGAATGAGAGACAGAGACAGAGAAAGAAGATGAATCAGGGTTGTTTAAAAGGTACTAAACGACTCTGCTCTTTTCTCTTCATGCATCATACTTTTTCTAAAAAAAAAATTGTTTTCTGCACCTAACATATTATAAGAATATCTTCTTAATTATCTCCAGCCCTCCTAAAGATAATTTCCTGTTGTTTCCTAAAAACCCATATAAAAGGTTTTTAGGAAACAACAGGAAATTATCTTTAGGAGGGCTGGAGATAATGTGAGTGTGAGTACAGGACAGCTTCAGCTGTGGGACTGGTGTCTCCTCATAAATGAAAGTGGATGAGCTTCTCTGCCCTAAAGGAGGACACATGAATGAGACCCACATCTCTTAAGATTTAAAACAACAGAAACCACAACAGAGGGATTATAAAGCCTTAAAATTGTAACTGAGATGTATATAAATTTTAAGAGAAATGGAGACCTAATATAATTCTGCTGATCACTGAAATTTTTTTAAAATGTACCATAGACCACATCACCTCAACACATCCTTATTTCCTATGAAAATTGGCCAGAATCTCATGGATTAAATAACTGCCTCAATTTGATTCTCCACCTACTTGACAAAAAACTTAAAGAAATATATATGCCTACCTATTTAGAAAAGAAATATTTCACTTAACAAATTATTTCTAATTTAATAAAAGAATTATTCCACAATTGGTAATCTCTCAGACTATAAGCATATGCATCACCCTCTATCACGATTAAAGCATAAATTAAAAGAAATAGCTTTTTTTGTATATATCTCCAAATGGCTATAAAAGGATAAATGCTTCTGAAATATTTCTCATAGCACATGAATTATAGCTTTAAAATACAGTAAGCTACCAAAGCCAATGCTCTCTGATACAATTCATTTTTCATATTCTACATGTCTATTTCCTAGGCAACACTTTCTAATTTTAATTATGACATCATGATTCAGTATCTCAAAATGAAAAGTAAACCTACACTGTGGGTCATGAGACACATCCTTGTCTAAAGAAATTCTCACTAGAGTAGCTTAATTTAGGGAATCATGGATAAAGAATTGTTATTACAATATGTATACCCTGGACATTATATGGCAAATGCTTTACGACAATTAATAACATTTAGATATAGTGAAAAGGATAGCTGGTTTTCTATTCATGTCTGAAATGAAAGGTCTAGAAAGATAACAATTCTGAGAACAATACCTGCTGATTCTGATAGGCAGTGACAGTCGTGAAGACAGTTTCTGGAAAGGAGAATGCCTTCACTCCCTCCCCAGATGGCACAGGCTTGATGGGAGAAAGATCATCTCCACAATCTTTACGGATGACGTGAACGCGTGGTTGGTATTTGTGCATAGAATGAAGGATGATCTATGTCAAAGAAAGAAAAACTAAATTTACCAGGAATTCCTTCCCAATATCAACACCATGACTAAATATTTAATATGCAAAATAAATCCTAGTTGGAAATGAAAATTTCCAAGAATGCAGAAATGCCAATTTAATAAATATATCAAAATTAGAGGGGGTGGCTAGGAAGGTATTTGTGAAGGTAACAATACAAAAGAGAAAAGAAAATCATTATTTTGGTGGAACCCTATATACAACCATGAGAACTTAACATCAAATTTTGTTTCTGAAAACACAAAATTAAATTCATAAGTATTTTATTTATAATGAGCCAAATGGAACTCAGAGCCCAAACCAATAAAACTGAAAGTTAGATTGGAACTGGTTATTTAAATTCCAGCACACTCATCCCCTAAAAAAGGGATTGTGCACCAAGGTTTTCTTCAGAGAACATTCTTCCTCTGTTAATGACTGCAACATGTCTATTTAAGGGCGAAGGGAATTTTAAGGGTATCCTACGGTCTACCTTGTGGGTGGCTCATGAAGTCTCTGGTTTGTCTGAAAAGCACAGTGTCTGTGACTCCATCATAGCAAGGCTTCCAGAACCCAGATGCCCAGGGATGGAAAAGCTGGCCCTCTCAAACTCTGCTAGGGGAAACTGACAATATGGCTCAACTACCTTCTACCCAATGATTCTACTTCTGAGAATGTATTCGAAGGAAACATTCCAAATCCAGAAAAGCATTTCATGTACAAAGATGTGCAGCGCACCATTTATAACTGGAAAAACTCTAAACTTACATGAGTAGATTGGTTAAGTAAACGAAAGTCCACACAGTGGGATACAGTATTATTCAGCCATTACTAATACTGTTTGGAACATTTTTAACTACATAATGAAATTTTAAATGATAAAGAAAGGATCCAAGTTGTTTATAAACTTATCATAACGACATAAAAATAGTAAAAAGGACCCATACAAAGATTTGAAAGGTGAATATCTCTGGATGATGGGATTGTGGGTGAACTTTTTCTTCTCCTTTATATGTTTTATGCTTTCAAGGTTAAGGAGGTGGGATAAAGCAATAGCCTCATCCAATGGGATTTTCTATTTGCTGCTAGGGGGTCTATATTCAGGTATTCATTGATGAGTTTAGTTAAGAAGCCTCAGTCTTTCCTCAACTATACTATTTGAATTCAGGTTTTGGGGTGTTAAGAGTTTGGAGGGAAAACTATTAAACAAAAGTCTTGGGAAAACACAGTGGTCAGCCTGCCGCATGTTTTTCAGGATACAAGCAGTTTAACAAGCCAAATTCAGAATCTGATCAGTCCAAATACAAATAGCCCTCTATCTGGACAATGTATTGCTGCCACAAGAAGAGGTCTTTATCCTCTGGTAGTAACCAGCACAGTGGTTAGTTTTGCTTTGTTTTGTATTTTTACCCTAAAATTTCCTTTCTATCAATGGATGAAATGACTGGATAGCAGATCTAATGATCTAAGCAGACATGCTTGAAGAGGAGGTAGCATAAATACGAGGAAAGGAGAAGAGGGAACAAGAGCCTTCACTACCTGGGGACACACACACAAATCTGTAACCTCTAGAAAAGTCTCTCCAGGTCTAAAAAAGGACAATTTCAGTAACCCATTAGTGGCTCACGAAATTAATTTAAAAAGTTGCTACCAGAAACTTTTTACATAAATAAATTATAAAATAAAGTAGAAAATAGAGTGCTTGTAGTAAGGATAAGTATTGTTTTGCAAAATGTTGTTTTCATGTGTGGGCGCGTGCACGCGCGTGCATGCACACTAGATCATAACATAAAATGTATCGTCTGGCTGTGAGTCAGGTAAAAAGTCTGAAAAATACAAAAGATTAATTTTAATGATTCTAATGATTAGCAAATTCTAGAGTAGAAGAAACACTGGAGAAAGCTATGTCACATTAAACAAACAGCAAGTGCATAGCTAATTGCTGAACACTAGAATGAACTGACTTGGAATGAAGGAAACAAAAACCGACTTGCATTTCTGTTTACTAGTCAATGAAAAGGAGGTTCTTGTTTTATGGAGTCTTTTTGCTCTCAAGCAGATTTCTCTCTCTCTCTCTCTGTGTGTATATGTGTGTGTGTGTGTGTGTGTGTGTGTGTGTGTGTACACACATAAATATATTTATCGACTGATAGGAGAATTCAACAATTTATTTATTTATTTTATTTATTTTTTTTTACTAATTTGTTTATACCCTTACTGAATTTCCAAAATGACTTAAGGTGAGGTATATTGGGATTGCTTACAAAAATAGCCAATGTATGCCTGTGCTTGCACAGTAAAGGACAATTGCCAATAGTAATGTGAAGATGATGTATTTTCAATGTTATCTACAGGAATTTAGTATAGCCCTGGAAATTTTCAAGGAATGCTAAACAAGCCTCAGTTCTTCTTTATAACATAGCCTTATTTGTTTTTTAATGAACTATCAAATTTACAATGACAAGTGGTCACTAATATTTTGCTTATTTAATAAAACAAGTAGAACAAGTTGAACCACTGGCCTTATAAACAAAGAGACTACCATAATAATGCCTATCACCAAAACCCAAATAATTATATCTGATCTGCATGTTCCATGCTCTCTATTCTGTTTAGATGGAGGATTTTTTTTTTTCTTTTTGGTATTACCTAGTAGCACAGATATTACATGGGCCTACATCCATAAATACAGAGTGCAGCTTTCCAGGTTAATACACATTTTTTTCCACTTTAAAGACACTAGGCTCAAGTCAAAGCATGATATTACTTATTTCTGATCTGATGGGCCTAAAACTGCCTGTAGTTTGACAGACACACCAGCTGTGCCTTATGAAACAGCTCAATAGGGAGACACTACCTGCTGACTCTGGAAATTTTCTAGATGACCTAAATTTCAGTGTTGTAACAAGTGAAGCCAAGGACCCAGGAAGAGCAGTTAACAAAAACCTGGCTCCCCGCATTTTTGTTGATACCAGGTACTGACCCACTTTCAATGGTAGGGGTCAAGGCAGTAACATGAGGTCACACGCTCCATAGCAAGGCAGCCTTGGTTTTGTTTCAAGCACGATGCTGTATATAAAGCACTCTTTACAAATATGTACTTTCAAGTTCATCGGTTCATTTAATTCACTCAGAATTCTCTGGTCCCAACACATACCATGAGAAAACTAAGCCTCAGAGAGAAAAAGCGACTTGCCCACGAACATGAAGATGTTGGATCTCTAAGCCATTGCAAGTCTTTCCATTAGGGAGATCCAGGAACTATTCCCTGTAATATCTTGCTTCCCCGCCAGATTCTCAAGCAGAAATGAGAAAAGGGTAAGGACGAATTTAGTGCTAGCATGCTTCCACATCACTGAATCCTCAGCAGCTAGAAAAACAAAGCCTTTTCCCTGACTGTGGCTGCTTGGCCATGCTTCCTTCCAAAGCACCCCTGCACTGTTTGTACAAGTCCCACTGAAGTTGAAGATGCACCTGATAAATGTCTTTGAATTCTTCAGGGAAATGTTGACCTAAATATTTCCCTCCAGACAGCAGATTCTAGATAAACAGGGAACATGCACGTGATGAGAAGGAAATACCACCCCCTCAAGCACACTAACCATCTGCACATGGGTAGCCCACGGACCAGTCTTGGGTTGTGTACAATCCAACAATGAGCTTCTCCAAGGAGCAAGTAGGGATTATAAAGTTTTCACAACATTAAAAGATTAGCTGTGGAGTGGTGGGACATTTCCACTCTAGATTCTCACCAATATTCCTCTCTAAACAATCCCCGGTATACGGAACGATGAAAAGTCACTTTGGGGGAAACCACAATGACACATAATCTCATATCTCATGCAGTCCAGGTCCAGTCACAGCCCTGTGGGAATTTGAGTCCTGCAATCACTCTGTGTTCAATAAAAGTTCTAGTTCTACATGGAGTTCTCAAGTCACTATATTGAACACTTGTACATCTTTAGCAAAGTAAAACTGGGAACTGAGGGAGCAATAAAAGTAAGAAAGCAAATTATAAAACCACTTCTCATCTGAATCTACAGCTTGATTAGCTGGAGATTAGCATCACTTCCTTACAACTGGGTTGGGGGTACTCAACATATAAGGGCAGAGGGGTGAGTCCTTGAGATGTGTCTGCATGAGCAAAGAGACTACTCAATTAGCAAGCACCACCATAATGGTGCTACTGTCTTCCTTGACCCTGAATCACATAAACAATAGAATAAAACATGAATTCGTACTCTAATCTAATCTCATATGGGATCATCGAATTGAATAAATAAATACAACAGACACTTTCTTCATGAAACCTTCCCAATCACGGAATAATGTGGCATCTGTATTTCTCTGAGCTGTCAGTGTGATTCTCTGTGCATGTGTCTTCTGTCTCCATCTAGGCTACAAGATCACTGAAGGTAAAGACTACGGCTTTTTATTTTACTATATTTTACATAGTCTTCAAAAATGTTTTTTAAATAAATAACAGAAAATAGCATTTTCCCTCCTACATTCTCCTCTAATACCAACTGATACATCCATTTTTATCATTTGCAAAGGCAATTTCCTTGCTTCCGAAATGCAGATATCCTTCTCTAAATGTTTCCCTCCAGACAGGAAATTTCTCTGTTCCCCATGCACATTAATTATCTCCCTTGATTAAAGTATTACATCCTGCCACAATCTTAAAATAAAAATTTCAGTGATAGATGACACACTTCTCCAGATGTTGCCTGTTTTCTGCTATGTTTTTGTTTCTCCTAATAGTAAAATACAATAATTATTTAGTTTTAAACAACTGAGTTTCAATTTGTAATCTATTCTTTTGTGTTTAAAACAAATGCTGTATGATAATTAATTTTATGTATCAACTTGGATAGGCCATGGTACCTATATATTTGGTCAAACACCAGTCTGGATGTTGCTGTTAAGATATTTTTTAGATAAAATTAACATTTAAATCAGTAGACTTTGAGTAAAGCAGAAGACTCTCCATAATGTGGGTGGGCCTTATCCAATTAGTTGAAGGCCTTAAGAGAAAAAGACTGAGGTCTCCTGAAGAAGAGGGAATTCTGCCTCCAGACTGTCTTTAGATTCAAGCTACAACATCATCTCTTTCATGCGTGTCCAGCTTGCCAACCTGCCCTTTAGATTTCGGATCCACTAGCTCTCAAAATTGCATAAGCCAATTCCTTGAAATAATCAAGCACTCCCCGCACCCCTGCCCCGCTGTGTGTGTGTGTGTGTGTGTGTGTGTGTGTGTTGTGTGTGTATATATTCTACTTGTTCTGTTTCTCTAGAGAATATCATTTTAAATAAAGTCTAATTAAATTACAAAGTTAAAATCATTTAATTAGATAAATTACTAGATTTCTATCTGGTACTATAAATGTTATATATTAGATATAAAGTCAGTAATTCGATCTGAAAGTATTGGAATTATAAAATGACTATATTAATTTAAATTATTAAAAGAAGTTTATACCTTATATATGACAACATATAGGTTTTAGACCCAATTATTGCTCTAAAAGATATATTAAACTATAGAACTCAGAAAAATAGAGTATATTTAAGCTTCTTAAAACAAGTAACAACACTTAGGGCATTTATTTTTAAATTTTCTATTCCATAAAAATAAAAGTTCCCTCAGTGGACATGCTAGCAACATTTCACAGTCCAGCTCCCTCAATCAGACAGAAGTAACTAACTAGTGTTCTTTAACTGAAGTCAAGTGAAAAATCATTGGTACAACTTGACTGTGCAAATAAAGAATAAAAAAAGTGAAATAAAATGATGCACTAAAATATAAGGCATGAAGTTGAATTCAGAAATGAAGTCTACTATGCTACCTTTCTGATTCTATTTTAAATCGTAAAAGGCAACAGGTAAACAAAAGCACTGGCAGAGTGAGATAAATGCATCTTAAAAATCTAGATACTGTATTTGTACCACAATGAAATTTGTACTTGAATGTTTTCATTAAGGTCAATTGCTTAAGTTATTGTCTAATAACCTGCAAATCATATCCTGTCATCACAGTATTATAGTTTATGACAGTTTACATTTTTGTTTTAAAAGTTTTGCTCATAAATATGCTATCTTTATGATACCCCTTTGAGGAATGAACTAGTTGGTATTCATTTTATGAATGATATACTAGTCAAAAGGCATTTTAATCCTGCATTGATCAAAACTCTCTCAAGTAACAGAAACCTAATTGAAATGCTAGCTTCAAATGAAAATCATCATGTATCCAGAGTAATTTATTTATTAAATAATAACAAATCTGGCCTAGGAACAATACTGTATAAAAATTAATAAGGTGTTAAAAATGACTATATCATCAAAATGGCTGACTTTCACTTATTTATCATGTTTCAGCAGTTTTAAAACTATAAGGAATTATTATTATAATATATTTTGACACATTGGATGTCATTACAAAACAATTGAGAACGGGCAGATGGAATATTATTGAGAAAAAATGAGCCTCGGCTGGGAAAAGAGGTGGATGCAGGCAGGACACAATAAATCATTATTCCAGTTAGCCCAAATCCTAAGTATTCATATTCAGAGTATAATTAGCACCTCATGGAATTTCAAACAAATGTTTTGGCTAAAAACTCTGCCTGAGGTTCTTTCATTCCAATTCAAATGCAGTATCTAGCTTTAATCTATGAAATGCTTCAAAGGATACTCCTACCACAGACACAGTCTCTGATGCAAATCTTACCTTGATTTTGCAAAGCTTATGCACATGCTATTCAACTAAGAGAGAAATATTATGATCTTAGAAAGTTATTTTCTTTAGTGCAGCACAATATAGATATGGGTACACCATCCAACGGTGGCCAAATTGGGAGGCCATCTACTCACATGGCCTTGGTCATCCAGTTCATTGTTGGTGAGCTTTAGCTTGTCGAAGCTGATCACCTGTCTCATCCAAGTCTCCCCCGAGGCAGGTGAGTCAGGATGAATGTACACACGGGGTGGCACAGGGGAGTCAGCATTTCCTGCCACCATCCATTTAGAGCTGTGGTAAACATACCTAAAAGGCAATGACAAGGCTCAGTATATCTTGGAATGTCCAGCTCAGTAGAATCAGACAAAATGTGCACCCTTTTTTTTTAATCTAAAGTACAACGATTTGCTCCTTACATCGAATGCAAATAAAATAAGATTTCGACAACTTTTTAAAAACTCTCTGAGGCAGCAGTGGCCTACTGACCACTCAAAGTAAGCGATGTGTTAAGGGTTTAGTGAAAAATATGCATGCTATAAGCACAATAAATGCAAGCATCTTACTTTTTTTTATGAATCATACTTATTCACATTAGACATTCTGTCTATATTCTGATATTTTCCATTTTTCATCTGGACAGTCAATTGATTTGAAGAAATTATTAAATTGTCAAGCTTATCTTTAACTATCTAAAAACATTTGAGAGGTCTATCTTAAAGTGTCCCATGTCCTTTACCACTTCCCATTTGAGGCTTATATACAGGCTGATTGGATAGAGGGCAGAAACGCAAGGGGAAATTGTCAGAAGTTTCAGTAACTTTTATTTTCAAAGGAAAAGAGTTTTATCTATTATCATTCAAAATTATTTTTTCTAATTCAGTTACACTATAAATTGAAAATAGAGGATTTGGTTTAATTTAAAAGTTTGTAAAATCGTAAAATGTAGACTTTTATCTTCTATATTTCTCTTTCTTGACCGTTGTAAGGCAATTCCATAAATAGTTTTTAAATACTACTAATTAAAATATACATCAAACTTTGAAAATTATGGTATAGCTAATTAATATTACTCTTCTAATTAAGAGACAAACCATCTTATTCTGTTTGTTTATATGTGTCAAATATGTTCACTCTATACAAATAATACATTTAAATAACAATGTTTTAAGTAATAAAATCATAGTATTTAATCCTACATTCAGATTATTATTCATTAATTAACTTAAAATACACTAATTCAAAAACTAGAAATTAGTATGTCAATGACTGACTTAAAAAAGGTAGAAAATAAAATTACTGTATATATTTAGGTGTTTTTCTTTCATTTGTGTTTTAAAATGGCATATAATATAAAGCAACAATTTACAAATAGTCTCAGAATTCTATGTAGTATGCAAATTTCTTTTTAAAATGGCATGAAACATTTTTATAACATCTCTAGTGAGATCCTTGGTTTCAACTATGGTCACATATTTCACTATTTTGAGCTTAACATGACTTCTATTCTTTAATTCCTTTTCTTAGGAAAAAATACATAATCGCAAAATTAAAAATAATTTTTTAAAACTTTATTTGGTATAGTGTAATTTCAATAAGTTCCTATGTACATAGGCTTTTGTGAATATTAATTTTAAATTTTAATAAATCACAATCATTTTTAACTTGACTAAATACCACTCTTTGATAATAGAGAATAAGCCAAAAAAATTTTTTCTACTACTGCTAAAAAAGTTGGAAAATCAAATGTAAATCTTAGAAATGCAAGAAAAAACTGCACTATGAATATAGTTATCACCAAAATAAATACTAATATGCTCTATCAAAACCTTGAAAAAGCATGCATATCGAATAGTTCAACAATCCACTGCCAGTAAGGGAATAAATGCTACATGTCATTTTTCTTTGTGAAACAATATAAATGCTAAAAGTGAATTTCTTGGAAAGCAATATAAGTGAAAGCAAATTTATTTTACAATTTGATCATTTAAAATTTGGCTTCTTAATACTAATACTTGAAATTGTTCTTGCTTTATGTGAAAATAATAAGAATCAGTTAAATAAAATAAACCATTCAAAATATATTGAAGGGATTAAGAGAAGACATAGGAGACAAATTAGAAGATAAAGATATAATTTCTAAGCTCATTAAGAATTGCATTATCTTCCTCAGCACAAAACCCACATTAGAACATAGATTTTAAAGAAAGTGTATTTAAAGAATAAACTTCAATGCCTTCTAGCTTCTGTCATGCAGTGGATAATTTTAGCAAAACTCTCGAATAAATTATTGAATTAAAATAATACAACTATACGCAAAACATAAATAATAAAACTGTCTTTTTTTAGTATTCCATATGTGCCTGTACTAATTAAATCTGAATACGTTGACACCATAAGCCTGTTTCCAAAAAAAGCAACTCCCTAAATTTTAAAATTATAAAAACCAAATCTGATTGTATTTAAAAGCTTACTAAATGCTCTTTTTTTATTTTAAAAAAAAAAAAACAGAAACAAAGAAGATCAAAATGTAGAGCAGCATTTTCTGGCCCTCCACTCAAAAACTCTTTTTTTAAATGTTATAGCATTTTTACCTCCGGAAACTAAAAAGCTTTGTCATTAAAAATTGTTGATTTGTTTACTTGCAGAAGAAAAAGAGCAAGTTGGTTTGATACTGAAAAATATATATCTTTTCCAATATTACTTGATGTCTACACAAATATATTCTCTTTCCAAATCTAAATATTACAAAGTTTTTTTTAAAAAATTACTGTTAACTATCAAGCAAAAAACAACAGTGAGATAACAAATTTATTACCACTTTAAAGATATCTTAATATCATAATGAATTATGAGATTTTATTTTTAAATTGTAAAAAAATCTTCAATAATTTTCTCAAAGTAAAGGGTAAAAGCCTGCAAACAGTTACAATTTTGGATGTAACCAGAATAAGGAAATTTATTTAAAGATAAAACACTCACAAAGAAAATAAAACATTTTATTAAATATTATGTATATGTACAAACTTTACTTAACATTTCCTCTCAAAATTCTAATCGAAATGTGAATCAATAAAAGACATTTAGTTTAGCAACACTAACCTGGCCTCTATTAAAAGTTCTCAGTACTTAAAAACATTTCTGTACCTCTAAGCAAAACAAAAATTAAGTTTCCACATTTATTGTAAGAGAAGGCATCCTCAGGGCCACTGGATCTGACTGGTGCTAGATTATGGATCTGGGGATACGACAGGCTTTTGGAAACAAACCATATAGTTGTCACAGATCAAACTGACAGCCTGTAAAATCCTAGTGCATTCTTATCCTCCCGTAGCCATCTGATCGCTGTACCTGTATCTTTTGTTGTCCACTGGCACAATATCCATGGCAATGTAATATTGCTGGTGAGGATCTAATCCTGAGATCTTCACTCTCATTGCTGGAAACATGCGCCTATGTATAAGGGAGGGCAGGAAAGAAGGTTTGGGTTTTGTTTTTGTATGTGATTACACATGGAAAATAAATAAGCAAAGGAACCTCTGGAATTTGTATTTTTCACTTGGACAAATTTATAGCATTTACCTTGGTAATTTAATTCAAAGTATCAGAACACAGGATATATCAAAACTGAGGCTTTTAAAGGTAATTTGCTGTACCCTGTACTTGTGTTCTATGTTTACTGAAATGTCAATGTAGCTAAGAGCAAAAGAATTTTATACACTGAAGTAATAAAAGCGCTAAAGAAAGTACTTTATTTTTCAAACAAAAATTGAATAAGTATAATTACTTTAATAATACAAATAACAAAATGTTCCAAATGGTAGAAATAGAAAATTTGAATTTCTAAAAGTGATAAAATATAATGTGAAATTTTAAAAGGGTTATAAAAAACCACAAGGAGCCAATGTGCCATGCTATAACCAAACAATATGTTCTTTATTGAGACAGGACTTCCTGTCTGCAGCATGGTAAAGGTGAAGTGCAAAAGTTGCTCTAAATTTGAAAGGTATAGTAAAACTTCTTTATTGAAAGCAGAAACTAAACACAATGTATATTTACCAAATCATTCCTTCTCTGACGATAACCTGAAAATACTTTCTTATTTAACCACATTTACTCAAAACATTGCTAATTAAGACAAACGAAAATCCGCATTTCTCTTGGCTTCCCACAGATGCATATAAAAGGACATGTTAAACTAAATGCACCTATCTTTTAAAAAGGGCACAGTAGCAAGGAATACAACAGCAAATTATTGTTTATAAAAAACAAATAGAACAGTTCTTTTTCTTTTAAAAAAAAACTTTCATCTAATGATTTATGTCTAAGACCCTTCCAGTTAATCTAATTTTTGCTAATTTAACATTATAACACAAATTTTAGTGCTGTTATTTACCATCTTTTTCTATAACAATAATGCCATTAAAGACCACTTGCACAAAAAAAAAGAAAGTCCATTATTTCTAACTAGGCATGAGAACAGTTTAATACGCTGGCTGTTTTAGTGTTATTTCAGTGCACCTGTAAGATAAAGAGTAAAGGTCTTTAACTACATCCTTTATAAGACAACTGTTGCTTTGTGTTGTTGAAGACTGAATTTGGATCATTAATAATAGCTCTGTGAAAATGTAGAAGGCAGCATATGGATTTAATAAAATATGTTTTTGTAATTTCTAATAAGTTTGGATACTTTTATGCTATCCAGGTTTTTGCCATGTGTACTCCCTGAAAGAGTTGTGTGTGCTTTTTAAGTTCCTTTTAGGGAAGATATTCATAGATTTCACTGCACTAAATGAACTGAAAACTTTAAAATGCAAATATTTGTTCCTCCCTCAAATTAATATGATTTAGCCAAAAAATCCACTAACTAACTGATGGATGTGCAAATTTCACACTTTCAAAAAACGGATATAAGTTCTTACCAATTATTTTCTTTAGTATTCTAAAAAAAAAAGTGTTAATTTTTTAATTTTAAGCTAATGTGTTGGATTTCATGTAGGAAAAAAAGTTAGCTACCGTTAACTGATGCTCTACAAACAGTGGTTTTTAAAAATCAGGGTAACCATTTTTGCAAGGATTAAACATGTATTATCAGAAATTCCAATAAATTTCCATCTTAGTCTAATATCAAAATAGCACAACACACCACCTTCTCACATTGCAAGGAAATCTTTTGATAAAGAACCAGCCTTGAAGTTTCAAATCTGAAAAAGCAAATCATAACTTGCTAAAGAGTAAGCTGCGTTTTTTCTTTAAAGGGGGAAGTGATCTGTTTCATAGTACCAGAAACAATAACTAGAGCCTAAATAAAAGCCTGAACAGACGTAAATATGACCACGAATCGGTAACCACCATGCACGCAATCACAAAGGCTACCGCACTGGCGGTGACAATGATTTTCTTCCAAGCATCCAACAAGAGGGCGGCCAGTCTGTGCCCCTCGCCGATTGCATTCCGGGATTGGAAGGCAAAGCCAGTTTCAAAAGTGTACCACTTTACCCGGGGCCTTGTTCCGTCTGTACGAAAATGCTATCCAGGGACCCCACTGCGCTGCAGGCCGTTCTCTTTCTGTGGACTATTCGCGCCAGCTCGCCCTTTACCTGCCCGCCTTGGTGATGATCATCTCGGTGCCGATCTCGTGAAAGCGCTTCCAGAGTTCAGCTCCCTGCAGATCCACCCGCGGGGCCTGCGGCGAGGGTAGCGGGGTCCCAGGCCTGGCCAGGGCGGGCGCCGGGGAGCCCTTCGGGGAGTCTCCCGGAGACGCCAATGGGGAAGCGCCCTGAAGGAAACCGTCTTCACAACCTCCTGGGCAGCAAAGGGTACAGAAGGGTAACCCGTAAGGGCTCAAGAGGGGAATCTTGCTGGACTCCGGGAGGGTGGCTAGGGAGAGGGAAAGGACCAGGAGAAAAGGGGAAGCTTTCCAGTCATCGGGTCCTTCTAATAGGTCCGCATGGCGGGCAGAAAGGAAGCTCGACCCTCAAGTCTGGAGTCCCGGAGAGGCGCGCTGGCAGCGTCCACCCCACCCTTCCTGCGTCCACCCGGTCGAGGCCCCAAAAGAAGTTTCGCGCGGCCCTAAGGGTCTGGGATGCCAGAGATGAGTTCCCTGAGATGGGTTCCCGAGTCTAGATCCCCAGTGCAGAGCCCGACACAGCCCGCGCCCCCGAGCACACTCAGCCAAAGCGCTTAGCGCCCGGCCCCTGGCCACAAGCGCCAGGGCCTCCCATAGCAGGCGTTGGAAGCGCCTGGCTTCGGGCTGGGCCGAAGGCATCCTCTAGAAAGTTTACAGACTCCGCTCCCGCTAAACTCCCTGGCTGCCCAGAGCTTCTTCGCCAAGTAGCGAAGGGCCGAGAGGAGCGCGAAAAGAAAGCCCACGGTCGCTGTCGGCTTTGGTAGCGGTAATCAAGAAAGGAAGGGAAGGGAATGGTTCAGCTACCCCTCGGGAAACCACGTTTGTAAATACGCCGCCCTCTTCCTGGCTTGCCCAAACGGTTTAGGGCATTCATTCCGGTTTCGGGCGGGGAGGAGAGTGGGGGAATGCCGTTGCTCCCTCCTCCTCCATGCTTTTAAGAGAGAGAAATGAAAGAGCACCCATCGGCTGGAACCCCAAGGGAGGAAGATGCGGAAAGCACAGATCTGAACGGCCGAGCGCTGCGAACAGCAGCAACTGAGGCAACTGGGCGGTGGAAGCCTGAGGAGTGAGGCTGGAAGCAGCGTTTTAACCGTCGGAGGGTGACATGAGTGCGCGGCAAAAGCGACCCGGGAGGCGGCGAGTTTTGCGCCCTGACACCCACTGCCAATGCGCTAGTGGCTGGGTCGCTTTGAGCGCATAGGGACTTCCCGCTCGTGCACGCCCACAACTTGCAGAAGTTTAGGTTCTCCGCCGCTGTGCGGGCCAGGGGGACCTGGGAGGGGACGCGCTGCGAGGAGGTTGGGCGGGAAGGGGCCGACTCACCCGCAGCTCCGCGGGAGCCGCAACTCAGCTCCAGGTCTGCGCAGCTCCGGGCGGGCCCGGATGCCGCCCCAGCTGGCAGCTGGAGCGCAGCGCCTTCGTCTCCCTCAGGGGGACCCTTTTCGCCGCCGCGGCTGCAGCCTCCGTCATCTACAGCCCCCGCCGCCTCTTCCGCGCCCAGCTTCCGCCGCTTCTTTTGAAGCTGTTGCTGCTTCTCGGCTCCGATCAGCGCCTCCACCGAGAAGGCGTGCGCCTTAAGGCTTAGCATGCTGCACGGCGAGCCCCTCCGCTTCTCGGCCATCCCCGCCGCCCAGCTCCCGCCCGCCCCTCGCTCATATACACTCACTCAGGCACACACGCACACTCGCTCTCCTTCCGCCACCAAAATTTGAACAACTCTTGAGGCCTCCCGCAGGCCGAGATCTGCCCTTTTCCCCGCCGCGGGCAAAAACAAATTTGGCGTTTCCTCTTTCTTGCTTGTGTTGAGATCCGAGGAACCAGCTACGCGCCCGCCAAGTTTCCTTTCCTCGGTCTCTCGCGCGCGCTCTCTCACTGATGCACTCCTTCGCTCCCACCCCTTCCACCTCTTCCTGCTGTTCCAAGATCTGCCTCGACTGATGCGCCAGAGAGGACTAACATGGGTAAAAACACACTCTGCGGACACAAATTAGGGATTGTAATTGAAATTTGTTGCCTTGATCTGTCAGCACTTCCAGTCAGGAGAGCGGTGGGAAGAACTTGCTCATTAGTGTCAATAAAGCGGCGAGGGTGGAGTCCGGGGTCCTGTCAATCACCGAAAAGGCCGACCAATCAGGAGGCGGCGACTCCGCGCAGCCCGCGCCCACTTCCTTACAAGGTCGCAAAAAACCTAGAGTGAAAAGCGCCGCCGTCTGGCTTGGACGTGCCAACCCCCGGCGCTGAGCTCAGTCGTGTCTTCTTGCCCCCTACAGCCCAGTCCAGACCATTCTCCAGCTTTTCTCTCGAGGACCTGGAACCACTGAGGCTCTTGGCTTTAAAACGAGATGATCACCAGTAGAATATCAAGTATCTTTTAAAAAACTTTAAATTTCCATCCCACTCTCTTATCACTTAATATTGCTACAACTCGGAACATTTCGAGGATGGGAAGAATTCACATCCACTAGGCCGATCTTTTCTCATTTAAACATTCCTGCGTCCGCTCTGCTTCTGGAACGGCGTTAGGCTTGCTTATTTATCTGTTTGTTTTACTCGGTTGGTTTTTCTTGGGGAGAGAGTGGGAATTCAAGATATATTTAAATCCTTTATATTTAGGAGAACAGAATTAGCTCAGTCCCTCATATGAACAATTCAGTAAAAGTACGCCCTTTCTTGCAGCCTCCCTTTTCTTTAGAAGTATTAAGTTCACTAAAAACGTAGCTCATGAGATTTTAGTTCTGCATGTCTTTAATTATAAGGACAGTTTTTAAAACCCCGAAACACTTCTTAAAGTGAAATAAATTTTAAGATGCAATAAAATTTCTCATTGCAGTGTTTTAAAATATTTCTGTGAGTTAACCTAACTTCATATTTGTCTTGCTTTGGACAACTTGCCACTTTTTTTCTTCAGGCTTTTAAAGAGCCAACTTGTTTCTTTAAAATAAAATTTTAAGTAAGAATAACATTTAAAAAGAAACAAATAATGCTGAACATATATCTTTACAATTGTTTTGTAATTTCAACTCGACTTTTGGTCAGGATTAACAATAAAATGGGTTTAGTATAAATAGAACAACTCTCTTGTGGAATAAAATTCATGATGCATATTACTCCTCCACAACTGTTGGCTGCCCTATTATCTCTGACTTCTTTCTAAGCTTCCAATAAAACGATTCAGAGAGTAGCTTCGCCACTGCGATTTTTTTTACCGAAGCTCGGGAACGCGTGGTCCCTTCAAGGCAACCTGAAGAGCAGGGAACTTGAGCAAGCAGTGCCCAGAGGCGTCACGTACTCGCCGCCAGGGGAGGTACGACAGCCTCAGGGTCATAAACAACTTCGGTACACCCTTGCAGAAGAGGCCTTTTAAATGCTTGAAAAACGGATTCAACAGGGAGGAGATGTTTTGCATTTTTGTTTTGTTTTGTTTTGTTTTGTTTTGTTTTGTTTTGTTTTGTTTTGTTTTGTTTTAAAGGCTTCGCAAACTGTGTGGAGCTGTTTGGTCCCCGAAGTTTCTCCAAGCTCGGCGGCGCCCCAGGCGAGTAGTATAGCCTTAAAAAGTAAGCATAAACGGGGTTCTGAAGCCTGGCCGAGAGCGGGCAGGGGCCTGAGCGAGCAAAGAGGCCGACTAGACGTCTTGGGCTGGGAGCCGGAATGGCATGGGGCGGATGGGGGGAGACAGACCATGCAGAAGGCTGCGCCCGGAGCACTGCGCGGCTAGGACGTCTGAAGCCCGCATCAGCAGCCTACGAGGACGCAGGGCCCTGCTCTCGGCGACAGGAATTGGAGCTTCTTGTGGCTCCTCGGAGCCGCCCTTGCGGCCTCAGAGACTTTGGAGGCGCTGAGGCCCAGGGGTGGAGTCGCCCGGACCTTGGGCCTACTTGGGCCATGAGGCAGAGAAAGGAAGAGCTGCTCATCCGCAGAAACCGGAATCAGCCAGGGACTAACGCCGTTTCCAGAGACGAGGAATGCTTTGTGGACTGGTTCTTAAACATTTGGGCTCCCCGCAGCTCAACTGATTTAGAGTGGAATACACGGGCCTCAGGATCACAATCCCAAGGTCTCCTCTATGCCTGCGCCACTTCTTTCGCCTTTACTTGGGGCAGCGAGGGGCGCAGACCCGGAAACGCGCATACGCCCAAGATTTGTGTCCGCATAGACGAAAAGCTGGAAAGCTGGCCCACACAGACATCCACGACGTCAGACAGAATATGTCCCTTAGAAATAGTCCAGGTGTACACTGGGCACTTGGGGCAAGACGAAAACACTGTTCCCCTTGGTCATTGTCCACGCTGGGCTTTAAGAACCCGAGCGATCGAGCCGCACCACCACTCGCCCCCTCATGCTAGTGTTGAATCGGGCTCAGGCTCCAGGACGCAGCAGGACCAGTTACCCTCGACCCACGAAGCAGTGGGTCTCAGACTTCACCGCGCTCCGACCTTCCCTTGCGAAGAGGGGGCGCCGAACCTCTCCTGGGCACTAGAGGGAAGGAAGGCTGGAGCTGGCAGGCGGGCGGAGCCTCTGCCTTTGGATGATGGCACAGCCATCGCCCTAGCAAGAAGTTTTTTCAAAAGCGTGGCACATGCGTGCAGCGGCCCAGCTATGGTCTTGCACTTTGCGAAGCAAGAGAGCAAAGGGAGCAGAGACAGGGCGAATTGACAGGAGAAAAGCTAGGCGCGTGTGCACGTGTCTGTGCATGTGTGTGTGGATGCGCGTGTGTGCACCTGCGCTCGTGTAAACGTGGGTGGGGGCGTAACACCCGAGAGCGTGTGCCTCCCGTCACTTTAAGAGAGATGTCTTTTCCCAGTATGAGCTGCTTTAAGGAAATAATTAAAACTGAATTAAACTGTCAGGCCTCTGGCAAGACTAACCGGGCTCCACTTCAAATCACTCAGGGAAGAACATTATCAGAATGGGTCTGTCTCAAGGACTTAAGTGGGAGGGGAAGGTAGAAGAGCCTCACGTGTCCAGGTCTGGGAGAATGGTAGCAAGTGTAATCCGCGTCCAGCCAGATAGCAAAACTAACTGGCGGGTTGGGGAAGGGGGCGAGTTTTTACAAAGCACATCCGGTTTTTCCCTCTTATTTTTCTTGCAGTTTAAAACTGGACAGTTCCGAAAAATTCCTTTTAAAAGTGCATTCTTTGTCGGCTCCCGCTGTGCTTTCTCAGCCTAGAGCCTGTTTACACTATACATACATATGTTTTAGAGAGAGCTTGTTATTTCATCTTACCTGACATAAGCTACTTGTATTTTGTTTTTGATCAATCGTTTATTTCTAAATTTAAAAATCAAATGCGTCAGGATTTCATTCTCTAGATAGACTTTTTTTTTTTCTTTAACACTTGACAATTACCGTTAAGTTTCTAACTCTCACGTTTGATTTCTCATACTCAAGACCTGACACAGAAGGTAAGTCCTAGCATACAGGAGAGTCTGTTCTTCGCCCTTGAACTCGAGGAGCATCAGGTTGTCCCAGAATTTCCACACAGGCAAGGTCGAGACTTCCTTCCCACGCATATAAAAAGACATTTATTATTAGCTAAAAGATTAACGCCGTGAGAAATATAGAAATAAACGGGAGAATAGGGGGTGAACAAGCACCCAATCTTATTTGGCAGGGTACTTTGTTATTTAATCTGGAAAGGATCCCTATCCTAACTCCTGGTAGTGGACATCCGAACACACCCTGAGTTACAGGGCAGCGCCACACATGCTCGCTGGGGCTCCCTCTCACCTTCCCACCTTCCCCTACCCTTTCTCATTCTCTTCTTTCTCTTTGCATATACTCTTCTGACCTCTCCTCTGATCTGGGTTAACAAAAATAATAAGTTATAACCTGTATGTATTTACAAAGGCTACAGGAGTAAATTGGGCTGCCAGGGGTTGGATGGCTGCTCTCTCACGGGCCTCCTCCCTGCTGGGTTTTGGGCTGCAGCTGCAAACCCAGGCCCCTTTGGAGAAAGCGATTCAGAGCTGCAGTTCCTCGCTGTTCGCTTCTGTTGCAGATTTGCACGCCCAGACAGCACCTCTCCACGTGTTGGCGACTGTTTACTATCCTCCCCTTAACAACAACCAGTCTCTTCCTATCAGCTACAAAGTCCCGCTACAAAAGAACTCTAGCTGCCAACCGACGAGCCCTTCGAAGCTCCCAAGCGCCCAAACTCAGTTCCAGTCCGGAGAGATTCTCTTCTAGTGCTGGTTTTTCAATCATTTATTCTCAATTATTTCTCATTGGAGCTTAGGGGAGGTGCGAGGTTTGGGGAGAGCCAAAGGGCAGTGTATTCTTAGGGTAATCTTGCCTTCATACCTCTCTCCCTATCACCTTCAAGTTCTCCAGTTTAGGGAAGAGAAAGAAAAGGAGAGAAGGGACCTCTAACTGTTCTAGTCGAACGGCGGTGAGGAAGTAATGAACACCTGATGTGTCCAGAAGAAAATTCATTTGACGAAGCGAATGAGCTTCCCCACTCGTCCAATTTCCAGCAGTATCTGCTCTGCCTCTAGATAACACTGCAATTATTTTTCACCCTGTGCGTGAAAACCCTCCACCTTCACGTCCTTATTCATTGACCCACACTCCTCCCATAACCCTACAGTTAGGGATTAGTAACAGAAATGTCCAAGAAGGCTACACTTGTCCCTATCACTAATACCTGATCTAACTATAAGATGTCTTGAAGGAAGT